AAAAAAAAAGGGATTGATAAGATGTTGTTTGAAAAAGGGAAAAAGAAAAATTCAAAAAAAAACAGTTAAAAAATTAACTTTGAAAACCTAATGAATTATGGTAAAAAAGCCATGAATTCTATGTGCAGTACTCCCCTAGCGCTGGAGTTCTCCCGTTCTCCTTGATGGGTAAACTTGGTCTTGGCTTGCTGGCTGTTCGTGCTTATCTTCTGGGGGAGGGGCCTGTTGCCGTGGTTCCCAAATCTCTTTGCCGGAGGCGGAATTGCCCTGCCCTTGTGAGTCCAGGCTAAGCAAGCTGCTCGGGTTTGCTCTCAGGAGCTTTTGTTCCCTGCAAGCTCTCGGTAGAGCTTTGGAGGACCAGGGTGAAAATGGTGGCCTCCCAATCTCCACCTTGAAGAGCCAAGAACTCGGGGCCCCGCTCCTCAGTGCGCCCCCAGAGAAAAGCAGTCACTCTCATCTCCCTGGTCTCCGGCCGCACTCCGTGCTCACCCGGCCTGTGATCAAGCGTTTCTACCTCTGGCACCTGACCCCGTCTGGAGTCTCCAAACCCAGCAGATCCCTGCGGTGCGCTTCCACGCCGCTCCTCCCCGGGGGAGGAAGGGGAGTCTCCCCGGCTCTGCCGCTTGTTGGGTCCCTGCTGGAGGAGCAGTGGCCCTACTGGGCCATGGATCACAGTTGCCATAAACTGTGCCTCGGCCCCGTCCCTGCAGCCGGCTTCCCTGCTCCAATACCTGGGAGCTCTGCCGCACTCAGGCACCCCCGGTCTTTCTGTGACCCCGAGGGTCCTGAGACCATACTGTCCCGCGAGGGTTCCACCCCCCGCTTAGCCACTGGAGTGACGTCCCTCAGCGGACCCGGCTTCTAAAAGTTCCGATTTTGTGCTCCGCGGCTCTATCACTTGCCAGAACGGCCAACGGAGGCCCCCTCCCCTGCAGTCTATCCTCCCGAATATCGCCTCGGATTCACTTCTCCGCATGTCCTACCTTCCAGAAAGTGGTCGCTTTTCTGTTCAGAGTGTTGTTACTATTCTTAACTTCGATCTCCTGTTGAGTTCGTAGGTGTTCAGAATGGTTTGATCCCTATTCAGCTGAATTCCTGAGACCAGAAGAAATCCAGGTCTCCTACTCCTCCGCCATCCTGCTGCGCACCCCCCCCCCGCACCATTCCTTTTTGATAATTAATCTCCTAGCTGAACCTAGCACAGGTATAAGTCATTAGCTTCTGGAACATGAAGACACAAGAGGTGGACTCTCAGTCAGAGGAGAGATAAGATAGCTAAGGAAACAAGGAAAAAGAAGGACATGAAGATACGTGTTGACTGTGTCTGAGCACTCACATTGATGAGGGACTTGCATCAGATCAGACTCGGTCTTCCTAACCCCACCTCCAAGGCTGTTCCAAGTGTGGAGATGAATGTGGGATGCTGTAGCCAATGGACTATGAGTATTCTTAATCCCATTCATGAGATCTCCTCTAATTTGAAGTGGAGGTATCAGATTATTTTAGTTTTATGCCATCGAATGTCTGATTCATCGAACCCTCTTTGGTCTAACCCATGCTCACCAAGTATGCTTTTTGGCCACACAAGCCTACCTGACGTGTGGAGAGCCCTGGGCCCCAGAGTAACTTTAGAACCTCTGGCAGTGCTCCTTCAGAGAAAATCAACAGAGCCTTTCTGATCATGATTTCAGCTTCCAAGTCACCTTGACCGCGGAGGCAGAATAGACTGACCCGTGGGATTCAGACCACCAGACCATGGGACGGTTACTAGCCCGAGTTTCGATGAATTCCCTGCCATTCTAATTCAATTGCAGTCTCATTTCTATTTTGGTTCTTATGACTCTACCTCTCAGGACCTAATGCCCCCTCTACCTGAAAGAATAAATCTCCGAGCCTTCAAAATAGAAGGACTCATTCATTTGGCATTGATTAGATAAGGTTTCCTTAACCTTTTTTGAAGCCCCAAGGTCTTTGATATACATGAATCTCTTATGTCCCACCACCTTTCAACGTGCCCAACCCAAATAAGTACATCTTATAAATAGATGTCCCCACCTGCTAAGAAGTCTCTATGTAATATGATAAAACAATAGGGCTTGTGTCCTAATAATATAGATTCGATACACTTACACATTTGTGTGTACAGATGCTAGCTATGGAGATTTCCGTAAAGCCTGCCCTACCCTCCAGCCCCATCTGAGAGTCCCTGCACCCTCCCCAACAAAACTCCCTTTACTGCCCTAGATATAGTGTCAATAAGAATTACAGATAAATATCTTCTGATTTCTGCAGAAGGATCCCAACTTACTTATGATAGAATTGGTTTAAGGTAAGTGAGAGAGCAAGGCATGAGCGAAGGGAGATGGCAAAGCATGAAGCAGTAACATGTTACCTAATCGCTAAGTACCCATAATGGTTAGTACTGGTGACAGTGCTGGTACTTATGTGGGTGTGTGTGAGTGGGGTGTTTGTGAGTACGAGGTGCACTGGTGTGAATGTTTACATGCACGTCTGTGTGCATGAATGAGAACACACATACAAAAATAAATAAAACATAATCCTCGCTTTCAGAATTCTAATTAAGTGGCAGAAACATGAAAATATCCATCATACCCCTCACAGGTAACAGTGTTTAGGTAAACTGAGCACTCTCTTTCCTGTGTCTGTCCGATCACAGGTTAAAGTTGCTCACTGCACAGACTTCACTCTAAAGACCAGGCTATCATGTGGTCAGGTGAGACTTGATGCAGGAGAAACTAGACCAGTGAATATTCTACCCGTTCATCCACCTGTTGCCATTAAAACAATTCCATTAATAAATCCCCCAACATCTACAGCTTCTCTTGTAAGGGAAAATACAGTTAGAAACCATTTAAAATTATCTTTACAACTATTATTCAAACTTGAGAATTGAAGTAGGTTATCTCTGGGTGTTTTCAGTTTTTCTTAAGTGTGTTCTGCACATAACACATAGTTCTTATGGCTCTGAGAATATAAAACGTAAATGTCCTTTTTTGTCCTGATAATTGTTTAGTAATGGGTATCAAATATTAGTAGCTGACCTATCTTAACCATTAGGATAGCAGCCACAGTCCACTCTGCTTCTACTCTGAGAAGCATTACCAGGGAAGTAGAAATTTTAAGAAAACAGTGAGAAAAATGACCATGGTTAAACAGAGATCGCACACGAAGCTAGGAAAAACTCAAGTAACTGAATCTTTATGACTGATAGATTACTCAAATAATTTTACACATGGAGGACACTTTATTGTTTAGAAAGTACTTTTTTTTATATGTTTCACACACATAGATCACTGCACCTTCAAAAAAAATCTCACAAGAAGTTTGAGGAAACTACAGCTCAGACAAGGTAAATAGATTGTTCAAATCCAAAGAGCAGTGTGTGTGTGTCTGTATTTATTCAGGTAAGTCCAATCCTTGAATTTTGGGCTTTTTACTTCTAAGCTCATGGGCTTTTCCATTAATTATACCACCTGAAGCCAAGACCCATGATAGGCAAAGCTGTTTTTAATGTTAGAAAAAATAAAATAAAATAAAATAAAAAAGAGAGAGAAATTTGTACAGAATTCTCTGTAGTCCAAAAGTTCTGTTTGTTGACTTTAGAGTTGCTCAAATTATGAGACTTAAAATATTACACAATGATTTTCTCTTGTGTGGTAAATCTAAATGAACAATTATGAGCCACTAAAGGCATTTTTTAAGAAATATGTATTTAAAATTAAGAATAATCAAGAGATAGCCAAATAAATAATTAATATAAATTTAATAGCAAGTACAAGAAAAATATTGAAATTTTAAAAGTTCATCCTTCATTATGAGGATTTAAACACATATAATTCCATTTAAGACAAAAAAATCTCAATCTGTGTGGATTTATGTGTTTATAGGTTTGTATACTTATATATTCTATCAATTTTTATATTTATATATTAATATTTTTATGTAGAAACCAAACTGAGTATCATTAGATTCCAAATCCATTGGGTGAAATTTTATAGGAAAACAGAATTTGCAGTGTCAATTTGTCCCCACATATGATTACAAAAATAAAGATGTCTTTACAAAGGACAAGTCTGGTTGATACTGTCTTATTAAGTTGATCAAATTTAATATCACCGATAATGGGACAAACCGACATCATATGCTTATTGATATGTTGTCATGTGAAAGACACAACATCACCAAAAATGTTTAACCTGAATCTAAGAACAAGAAAATAATAGACAAAATAAAGCCAGATTAAGGTTCATTCTGTAAAACAATCAGCATATACTCCTCAAAATATGTTGATGCTATGAAAACCAGAAAAAAAAATGAAAGAACTCTTCCATTTTATTGAAAACTAAATAGAAATGATAACAAAATGCTTGCATGGTCCTCATTTGATTCGTGGATCAAAAGTATAGCAGTTATAGGGGCGCCTGTGTGGCGAAGTCGGCTGGGCGACCGGCTCTTGGTTTCAGCTCAGGTCCTGATCTGAGGGTTGAGGGATCGAACCCCATGTCGAGCTCCATGCTCAGGGCAGAGTATGCTTGAGATTCTCTTTCCCTCTGCTCCGCCCACTCATGTTCTCTCTCTCTCTCTCTCTCCCTCTAAATAAATAAATGAATCTTTTAAAAAAATATAGCAGTTATAAAGGACATTATTAGGAAAATTCAGGAAATTTAAGTATGAATTATATATATAATATTATTATATTGTTAAGTTTCTTGTGTGTGATAATGTTATTTTGAGATTGTCTTATTCAAGGAGATCCATGTTGAAGTATTTAGAAGTGAAATATCATGATATCTGCAATTTACTTTCAAATTAATCTGACAAAACATTTAGTGATAGAGCAAAAGCAAATGTGCAAAAATGTTAACAATTGGTAAATCTAGATGAAAGATAAATAAAGGTTCATTGTATTACCTTTCCACTTTTTTGTAGGTTTAAAACTTTTGAAAATATAAGTTGGGAAAAATTAAACCAAATAAAACTATTCTTTAAATTCTTTATTTCATATGTCTGATTCAGCCATATTGCAATATAGGTTTATCACACATGCATTCACCTTTTTTGTAGATTTCAAATATTAAATGTTGAATGAATGTTACAAATTATAATCAGAATATACAACAAGGCACTTAAGGAAGTATTAAAAAGATTTAAGAATTATGTGAAATTTCGAGTACAGATATAGAACAAGAATAAATGATACTGGTGATGTTAACATTCAGACTGTTTGCCCCATCTTAATTTCTCTGCTCCCCTCCCACTTAGAATCTAAAAAAGCATTCATTATAAATTGGAGGTACAGAATTCTTAGAAAATAAGTGGATGAGTTGTATGATTATCTTTACAAGTACAATTGGCTTTTCAGCAACCTGTAAGCCATTGAAAAAGTAACTCCATATCCAACAAAGAAAGCCAATGCCCGATTTGGCTGGGGAAGGGGTGTCAAATACGCAATCGTGTGGTAGATCCGTGCTCCAACAAAGAGTCTGAAGTGCAGGATGGCCGTAGAGAGATCTGGACCACTCAAGGAATACAGAAGGCCAATACCAAGAAATGGCACAATATTTTCAAGGTCATTCAGGTGAGCTCTGTAGGAAAAAATGATTAGCAAAACACTGATTTCAAAATCCATAGAAATCCATTCATTTTTCCCTTTCTTCTAAAACTAAATATAATGTTAGTGGATCTTAAAAATGCAGATTTATTATTTTTTTAAAGATTTCATTTATTTATTTGACACAGAGAGACACAGCGAGAGAGGGAACACAAGCAGGGGGAGTGGAAGAGGGAGAAGCAGGCTCTCCGCTGAGCAGGGAGCCTGATGCAGGGCTCGATCCCAGGACCCTGGGATCTTGACCTGAGCCGAAGGCAGACGCTTAACAACTGAGCCACCCAGGCGCCCCAGATTTATTATTTTTTTTTCAAATTGCCTTGTTTCTTTAACCATTTGGCTTTTATTTAAAATGTCTTATTATTTTTGGTTCTATCTTTAGCATATTTCAACATATAACAAAGAAGACACTTTTCACTTTCAAGAACATCAAAATTGCATCTGTGCCATAAAACTCACTTCAGTTTTGTAGATGGGAAATATTTTTTCTTCTGAGGTTCATACAATAGCAATTCAAGAGTGTTCTTAAAACTCTTCTTTCCAAAAGAAAGAACTTTTGGTTATAATCTTTCATAAGACTCCTCCCTCACTTCTGCCAGTCTACAGAATGGTTACTCAGACAATCCTTGCCCATTCACCACAACTACTTGGTTACCAACAATTAATTTAACAATTCAATAACAAGAATCTTATGCTCTCAACTTCAAATAACAGAATACATAAGTAGCCTTTCAAATATGGGTAAAATTTTAGCCAATCTATCCTCAAATTACAAGAAGAATTAGCTAACCGAGGGAGCAAAGTACAAAGAATACACAAAAATTATAGATCATAGAAAGATATGTTTCCTAAATTTTATCTTTATACCATAGCTAGAAGATTTCCCCCAGTTCATGGCACCTTGGGTTTCTCTGGCTAGGATTGTGAACAGAAGGCCCGTTTATTATTGACTTGATTTTTTTTTAAGTGCTCAATTTTAAAGTCTATCGTCCCTGTTTAAGTAGCCAGATTTAAAACTGCTTTAGAATCTAGACTAGAAATTGAGATTTTTGAGAGAGCTTATCAGCTATTGATAGGTATTTTAAAACAAAAAAAAAAATTAGTTTTATGTCACTTTCTTTTCTTCTACATAGGTTCCTGACAAAGATGGTGACAACATAAAGGCTTGGAGAAGGTGACAGTCACCTAGATAAGTAATGGTTTTGAAAGATTTCAATAAAGAATGACCTGTTTCTAAGTAAAAGCAAAAAACAGAAAGATAGGAGTGTTCCCGTCCCCTCTCCATCATGGAACGGGCTACCGAGAGCAAGGTACGCAAGAAGGGACGGGAACGCTATTTCCTACTAAGGAAGGGTCCAGTTCACCAATTACATCAAGGCTATTTGTTTTGGTCTTTTGAATTCTCCTGCCAGACTACAGATGCAACTTCACTTCCAGTCTTGGCCATGTGAGTTTTCTCCCTCACAACTTTCTAAAAGAACAGACATTTTAAAGTTGGGCAAGAAGTTTTAAAAGGGAGACCCCATAGAAAACAGTGTCTACTTCCAAGCCTACTTAAGCAATTGGCAAATAGAATGCAGTTTTAAAACAGAGAAGAAAGTCAAGGGCAGTAAGAAGTAATGTGGTTCACTGGGGGCTGAGGGAAGGAAGGTCGGAGGAGGGCTTCTTTTGACTTTACTAGCCCCTCATTTTTTTCTGGCCTCCCTCTATCTTATTTCTCCTCTTCAACTCTCTTTCCCTGTCCTCAGTCCTCCAAATGATCTTAGAAATAACACTGCTCATCGTCCTAGGAAGGCCTGTTTTCAACAGACCCTCATCTTCAATGCTAATTCATGACATACTCAATGCTAATTCACGCCATCTTTTTAGACCCTGGCCAGGGCATTCGGTTTCCCAGCTTTCCCAGTGAGTACCTGCTATAGTTCAGTATCACCTGTCCGCTGGAACCCTTTCTCTGCTCAAAGGACAGAGTTCATCTTATAGGAGCAGCTTCTTTCATCTTCATGTCCTTTCTAGACTGCTTTCAAAATCTATTAGCAGGGGCTAATTTCAGTTTTCACAACCACTTTCTATCTGGGTCTATCCCCTTCCCCCCGTGATGATTCCTGTTCCCATTTTCGTTTCTTCTTTAGACAGGTGCCCCTTGGTATAGGCTTGCTCTGTGGCTGACATTCCCGCCAACCCTTCTCTGTGCTCATGATGCTCCAGTCACACCTCCCTGCCTCATATCAGAACCACCTGGATTTCAGTGTCATCCACCTGACCTGGACCAGTGTTGCTACACATCTTTGAGAATTGTCTGGGGGTGGCCAAGTACAAAAGGAGCCTCATACCAGACTTCCAGACTCCCTTATCTCAGCCAAAGCTCTTCACGCTCAACATAGAGCAGTGTGCCCAAATTCCCACAAAGAAATTGTTCCAAATTGCCATGATCTCTCGCCTCTTCCTCTTCTCAAATCCTAGTATCCTTCAAGCCCTTCCTTCATGCAATATTCCTAGATATTTTAAGAACTTATACCTTGTCCCCCACAACTTAACATTTAATAAGAGGCTGCTTTATATCATTCTCTAATTACTACATGTGTGTTGGTCTTATTTTCAAGGGAAAAGTTATAAACCCCTCAAGGGCAGGAAAGTTCTTTTATAGTACCCTAATACAAGAAATGACAGTAATGTACACACAATGATTTCTCAGTGAATGCTTTATTCAGGCACTGGGGCCAGAAGGGAAGCCATCTAGTTCAACTCCCAGCCCAAGGCTCAGTCCCTTGACAGAATCCCCAGTGAGTGTCACCTATATTCCATTAAACACTCAGTAAAAAGGTATTATTTGCCTTTGAAGGTAGTGTATTCTAAACGTCTCTCCTTGCCCTTATATACCAAACCCAAGCCTTCCTTCTTTTCCTTTTGAATGATTCTCTTTATTTCTCCAGCTGCCCTGATTACTTTGCAACTTTCTTTTCATCTTGTTGTACTGAATGGATATATGGTCTCATATTCTTTCTAGAACATGGCGAGATGGTATTAAATAAATACATATGTAAAATGTTTTCTAATCTCTGATTTTTGTCTGTCCAAAATGCAAGTCACTTACTTTAAGCCACTTATCTTGATATTTCCACATATATTACTTTATGTTTTTACTTATTTGCCCCATATGTGTATGTATTAATTTTCTCCATATTGCATATCTGAAAGCATCCCTGTCACTTCATTTGTAACCCCATTCAGTTCCTGCCATTGGGATATACTGATAGAAATAGCTTTATATGTGGAAGTCATGGGGAAAAAAATCCAGGTTAAAAATCAAATGAGGAGATTATGGAAACTCTTTATCTGAAAAGTATCTCCAAAAGCGAACTGTTACTACAAACTTTTTGATGGTGTCGATAAGGTCTCAAAAAATACAACTGGAAACTGGACACCTTGTTTTTCTTGGAGACTCTTCTGTTGCCACACTGAAAAGGCAGTGTCTGATCACCAGGGGGCGCTGTGCACACAGTCGCTGCACCTCTTCTAGGACACGGATTCCTTTCAGAAAGAACTAAGGTAAATTGTTCACAACCTGACTAGCTTCAATAACGGCTTTCTCCTCTAGAAGTACAGTCAGTCCTATGGGCATGGGGGCGGGGCGGGGGGTTGGGATGGGAGGGGAGAATGGGGAAAAATCTAAAATCTCAAAATTAAAATATCTTTTGTTAAGCTTTCACACATGACACTTGGATGTTCCCTTCAAACTTACTAATGCTATTGCGCATTGAACTGTTATCACTTTCAAGTCCTGGGCAATGTTATGAGTATAGGGTCGTGATCAGCATCATGTATGTGATTATCTGCTCTAGAAGGGATGTACAAAAAGGTAAAGACAAAAGTTTTAAACTGCTTAATGTCTCTTTGGTGGTTTTGGCAACTCCACAAAGCTGTACTCACCTTTTCTACTGTTTATTCTTTTTCATCATAACACTTACAATTTTCTGATACTGTTTGAAATTTTCACATTCTTTGTCCTGAAACCATTTTAGATCCACATTCTTGGAATCGTCCATTTTTAAGACTGGTTGATTTACTCGTAAGACCATTAATTTAACAAATATATAACTAAGTGAAGCAGAAGTTAACATTTTATTAAAACTACCTAGCACAGACTTCCTCTTAGGAGAAAAACATTCTTGTTTAATAAACTGGGGTTAAATTTTTTGCATAATTTTGGTACTAGAAGAGCAGAAGAGTATATGAAGCCAAGGAAGAACCTGCAAAATGGTGTAATGGTGGGCATTATTTGAGGGGAAGAAGGTACAGTGCAACTTCCCCAGGGACAGGATGCTGAAGGACACTGTCAAAGCTGTCTAACATACAACTTGAAATGTTTGCGTTGCCATAATGTAAACACCTCAATTTCATCAAGTCTCTTTTATCCACATTTTTTAAGTTGGTTTGTTGAGAGTTGAGGAAAGAGCCAAGTTTACATCAGCTTAACAAAATGTAGACTATGGAAACATGCACACGTGTAGAAACCCAGACTGAGAGTGAATCTTGAGATCTTATACCAGAGGGAATCTGCAGGAATCTGCCGAAATCTTGGGAGGGGCTTCAGACTCTCACAGGGAATCAAGAAAAGTGATAATGCAAATATGATCTAGATCCTAGAGGGTTTAGAAACTCCAGCTGGTTCCCAAATTACAGAAATAAAATTTTTTTATTTCAGTATCCAGTTCACCTATTCATACTCACCAAATTGAAACAGTGCATCAAATATACTCATGATGTTTCCTATCTTAACTATTCACCACAAAACAAAGTATCTGTATGTTTAAGTATGGCTATGAAAACACTTCACTGTTTCTTTAATTTTATATAATTTTACTTATTCCTTGAAATGTGCTTAAAATTGAACCATGTTTGGATGAGCGTTAGACAATACTAAGTGAGAAGACGGTATATAATTTGATGTTTCCGATGTTAGAGAAAGGTAACTAA